GCTCTGGTGCGAAGAAAACGTCCACGTCAGTCTCCCTTGGGCCCGCGGGAGTAGGACAGCACCCGCAGCTCAGTGACCTCAGCCCCGTGGCAAAGCGATGACCCAACAAAGTTTTATTGGCGAGGTAATGATGGTATTCACCTCCGTCTGAAGATGACTGGGTGAACTGAAACCTCGTTTTGCCTGTCCAATTAATGTTGTGGCTCGACTTTTTTATTCAAGGTTGGACTGACGTGACAAGGTGAAATCACCGCCACACCGCTGCTTGACGTCACTAGCTTTGTCTCACGAAGTGCAAGAAACTTTGCAGGGCGAGAGGCCGGCCAGATCCTGCCTGTCGCAATCCCTGGGCAAGTGGTGTATCATAGTAAAGAAACCCGTAGGATACACAGACGTCTGATTTAACATGATTTCCTCACCAAATTATTAATGCTAGCCACATAGGACTGCAGGTAACTTGTCCTTCAGTGACTAAAGACAGCCACCAAGGATCGCATCAGAATATAATAATTTTCGTTCAACGATGGACGGAGTTGCATTTCACCTTGTTCAAGAAAAAGGCTTACTGACCGCTTCTGGAAGCTATGTCCTCGTCTTTTGAATGGGATGTTTCCGACTTTATGTCACTCTACTTCCTAGCGCTCTCGCTCCCCAGATACAACGAACTCTGACGCCAGGAACGAGTAGCAAGGAAAGAAAACAACATGTTTACGCGCAACATTAAGCCGTGAATTAAGTAGCCAAAGCATTCGCCTTCACGGGAATGTTGGCTAGCTTTCACAATAAAATTACCAGGTACGACTTGGCTGGTAAGCCATGCAGATATGAACAAACATTTAGACATATTTCCTTTGACAAAGCAAATCGTATTTCCCGATCTCAATATCCTTAAATCAGGCCTCCGAGTTCGCTTGCCCTGAAACTAGCTTTCTTTGCTCGTTTTCATTTCCTTACTTTCTTCCTTCTTTTTCCATTCGTACTTTCATCCCGCCTGATTTGCCTTTCTTTATTCCATCCCTTCTTAACTTCTTTTCAATATTACATCCCTTCCCTTTCCGTCCGCAGTTTCGTCCTTTCTCTTGATTTCCATCTCTTTACTTGCTGCCTCACCTCCCTCGTTCGGTATCTCCTCCGTTATCGTTCTTTCTCTCTTTTCTTGATTCTCTCTTGTCGCATCTTAACTGTATTTTTCATCTTTTTAACCAACGGATTTTTTTCTATTTTTTCTCATCGCATTTTCTCATCTCTGATCTTTCTCGCCGCCCTTTTACTTGTTTTCTTCTTCTTTTATTCCTATATTTACTATTTTTTCACCATCATTTTCTTTTATAACTTCCTTTATCACTAGTACTTCTTCTTTTACTATTTCTAGCACTCCTCCTCCTCCTTCTTCTCTTCCCCTCCTCCTCCTCGTCCCTCTTCCCCTCTCCTCCCCCCCTCCTCCTCCTCCTCCTCCTCTTCCTCCTCCTCCCCCTACTCCTCCTCTTCTTCTTCTTCTTCCTCCTCCTCCACCTCTCCCTCCTCCTCCACCTCTC